AGCAAGTTGTGCTGAACTCCTGCAGCAGGAAGAGGCAGCCTGTGAGCCTGTGCTAAGGGCAGCAAATCCAGATATGTATGTGTAATATCCTCTAAGCATTTGCGGATCTCACACGGCAGTAGTGTAGCAAAAATCACGCGTGTAAAGAGAGCCAACCGAGAAACCGCTCGACTTGTAACCAATGATTTGTCTGTATTTCTGGGTCTTGAAGCGAAAATACTTTCGACCTAAGTGTCTCTGTGTGCTTACAGGTTGATCTACACATTTGCAAATCTTACTACAGATTTGTAAATCTGAATATTGATTTATAAATCTCTGTACAGATTTGTAGATTTGAATCCAGATTGGTGGATTTTTTTTCACATTTACAAATCTCAGTACATATTTGTAAATCTGAATAAAGGTTTGTGGATTTTTTACACATTTACAAACCGGATTACACACAGTAGTTTTACACATTTGCAGATTGTTTTACAGAGACACAAATCTCTGCACCCATTTACAGTTTAATTTACACATTTTGAAATCCCACTGCACACACACAAATCGAGATACAGATACACAACTCTCCACACACATTTGCAAATAATAAAGCAACAGTTTTGGCCCCATACACGTGGTTTAATGTCCCTGCAGATTCGGCCTATTTTGAATGCCAGGAAGCTGGACAGGAACGATTCTTTGGGCAGAATATCACACCTGGTTATTATGAGGACTTTATGCGACTGAGAGCAGAGATTGATAACTATTTGAAAAAAAAAAAGGATAGAAAAAAAAGTATCTGATATATATTTTAGGATAAATATGGTTGAAAAAACTATAGCTTAACAAGCGGGGGGTCAGTACAATCTATGATTTTATCCTCCTATAGCTTACGTTTGATATGGACACCGGAGAATGGATTTTGTTTGATTCAAGATCCCCTCCTCACCCTTTTGATATAAAAGGTCGAATGGATTTTCTGTATTGCCTCAGTGATACAGTCACTCCACAGGTGGTGGACAATGCTTATGCCCCTGTCTAAGAGCCACGAGTCCTCTTGTAGCTTCTCTGCTGGGAAGAACTGGGCTGGAAACTTGGATTAATTCCTTAGA